GAGAGGTTCATTTGTGTCACGTTTTGGATTCCACATATAAGTGATATCATATGGTATTTGTCTTTCTCTGTCTGACTTACTTCACTTTGCATAATGCCCTCCAGGTCCACCATGTTGCTGCAACTGGCATTATTTCATTCTTTTTTATAGCTGAGTAGTATTCCATTGTATATATGTACCACATTTTCTTTATCCATCTGTCGATGGACATTTAGGCTGTTTCCATGTCTTGGCTATTGCGAATAGTGCTGCTATGAACATAGGGGTGCATGTATCTTTTTGGATTAGAGTCTGAATAAAATATGACTTGCAACTTTTAGGCTGTACATTTTTCTTCAGTTGACAGGCTTATTCAACAGATCTGGAATGGGGCCTGATACTCTAACAAACTCTAGGTGATGCTGATGCTGACGGTCTACAGGCCACACTTTGAGTAGCAAGGGAGGAATGGCTAAAGAAATAGAATAAAGTGTTACAGGAAATCTATACAGAGGACTGTGTAAGAACCAAAGAGGGGCTGCACCTTTGTGAGAGTTAGAAAAGGCTTCGTAAGGAAGGAGCCTGATGAGCTGAGCCTTGTTCTCTGGGTGATCGCAGGGAAAAAGTCAAGAGGTCTACACCGTAGTTCAGTGATTATGGTTTGAGTTGGACAGGCCATCTAAATTTTCTGACCCTCAAATTTATCATCTGTAAAATGAGGGATTGAAAATGTCCATACACTTCACAGTCCTAAAACTAGATGACTCTAATGAGATTACTATTATTTTTTTTTGGCCACACCACACGGCATGCAGGATCTTAGTTCCTCGACCAGGGATCAAACCCGTGCCCCCTGCAGTGGAAGCAAGGAGTCTTAACCACTGGACAGCCAGGGAAGTCCTGGGATAAATTTTAAAATCACTTAACATATGCTCAGTTTAGAAGTTAGGGTGAAATAGTATAAAAGGTTCTATTAATGAGCCTAACAAACTGACCTACAATTGACAAATGAAAGTATATCAATCAATAAGAGAACAGCACTTAAGTCTTAACAGCCTCTTATATGTGTTTTCTCTTATTCAGTTGCCTATTTGTAGGTGGGTGTATGGCTTCACAAATGAACTACTTTAAAAGATCACCATACTACTTTGCTCAGCACAGTAATACTTAACATCCATAAAGCACCATTTCAAGGCACTTTACAAACATCAGTTAATTACTTGTCACCACTTGCAAGTTACTTTTCATTAGTCCAATTACTAGTGAACAGATTAAACTGAAATGGGGAAGGCAGACCCCAGAGGGAGGATCAGAGCCGAGAGAAGGATGCTGGGGGCTCCCTGCTACCTGTGAGCCTGCTCCCTCAACATCTATTTATAGGTAAGAACCTGCCCTGACCAGGAAAGCACCAAAACACTAGAAAAGGAAAAAAAAAAAAAAAACGCTGCTTCTGAACATCTTGCTGGAGTTTGCCACTAAAAGCCAAAATGTCACAAATGTCAAAGGAGAGAGATGAAGTAGTATAAAGGTTTACTGCCTCCCCAGCTGAGTAGGACCGATTGCCACCCTCTTCAAACACTCGACCAAGAAAGGAAACGAAGTCAACGGTGAATGACTCCATTTTCACAAAAAAAAGTTTTCATTACTAAAATTCAAATGAAATGTGGCTATTTTTAGTGTTACACTTTTAAAGGATAAAATATTTTCTAGAATGGATTTTGAAGGAGTAATCATACCTTAATTACAGTATCTTCTCTTCCTATGTAAAACAGAGTTAAATATGACCCTTTTATTATTTATTATTTTTTTTTTTGGCCGCACCACAAGGCATGCAGGATCTTAGTTCCCTGACCAGGGATCCAACCCGTGGCCCCTGCATTGGGAGCACGGACTCTTAACCACTGGATCACCAGGGAAGTCCCTATATATGTCCCTCTTAAATGAGAAAAACACAGTGCTTTGTGACCACCTAGAGGGGCGGGATAGGGAGGGTGGGAGGGAGACGCAAGAGGGAGGAGATATGGGGATAGATGTATATGTATTGCTGATTCACTTTGTTATACAGCAGAAACTAACACACCGTTGTAAAGCAATTATACTCCAATAAAGTTGTTTAAAAAAAAGATAAAATCATAACTCACACAAATATAAAATGAAAATAAAAATGAGAAAAAATTTAAACTCAGCACAGCAAGAATTATCCAATAAGTAGGAAGTAATTTTTGCTACTGTCTTGCACAGTTCTGGTTTTTTTCCCCCAAATGCTCTAAATATACATGTAGAAACTTTATATGTAGAAATAATGATAATAAATGTTATTTTTAAAACTAACCAATCTGCAGTTTCTCTGATTTATGGGCTGGGAGAGGGAGAAATTGGGTACAAAGGCTGATAAATTTGGTAGCAATTCAAAAATAAGGTCCATTTGTATAAACCTGAAAGTATATCACAAACAATTCACTATTTTCTTAAATATGGAAGAAAAAGATGCCTAATCTTAGTAAGTATTCAATCATAGCAAAACGTATCTTTTAACAAAGGGAGCATGATATTGGAAATTCCTTAGATTAAAACAGGTTTTCTACTTCCTTTGCATTTCTCCAGAGTGCTTTGTATACACAACATGGCATACAGTTCATTTATCATTAACATAAGACAGATTAGACCATTTATTTTACTTTTATCTTTAAAAAATTTGTGTCATGATCATATTTTGGTACACGTATGAGTAAATATATGTTATAGAAGTGCTCTTCAAAAATTAGTGTTAATTCATTTTCATTTTAACAATATTTATTACAAATCACATCTTATAAACACTAGATAAATTACATACAAAAGCTAGATATAAATATACAGAAGCAAAAACAGCAGTACTATTAACACAAGACAAATAAGCTAATATAATGTCTAAACATGTATATCTTAATAAAATTACTAAGTTTTCATTACTAATTCTTTTTTCATGAATTCAAAAGCTATTCAGAAATGAAATGTAGAATACTCTAATTACAATCAAGGTTTAGAATGATAAAAACAACAACCGTAGCACTACTTATTTCTAAAAAATCTTTTCAAACATTCAGAAGCAAAGAACTGTCCTGAAAGACAAATTAAACTTGGGTAAAAGCTCTTATCTAACTGAAGAGTATAAAATTTTAGGCTTTGGTTACTAAATTTAGTGGAAAATTTTAAATTAACATCTCCCTTATATGTAATATTCCTGAGTTTTTGCTAAAATACTATAGGTAAAATAAAGAACTCAATTTACAGCGTTGTATAACATTGTATTATATTTTTGAAAAACAAAGTATTGTGATTTTTTAAACTGTGAATAATGGGATTTAATAATGTAATTATGATAAGAATATGTTTAAGTTAGCTTACCTATGAGAAAAATTAATGTCCTCTGACTACTATTTGGCAAAGCTCATTTTTAAATTATGATAAAAATTATATTAAACCCATCACCGATTTTTATTTGTATCTTATGAATTCATTTTGATTTAAAGGATAGGTTATGTAGAATAGAATGCTATTGTAGAAGACTGAAATGATACAATGCTAATACAAGGTGAGGCACAGGGTAGGTGGTCAATATTACTTATTAATTTAAAGTGAAAAGTCTTTTAATGTATTATTTCTGAACATCGACACACAATTCAATGCAATAGTTGTAAATGAATCTGAAAATATCCACAAAAATATTTTCAGTTTAAACACGAAAACACATTGTTAGTAACAATCATAAGAGGAATTTTTACAAGTGATTATTTTCAGCCTTAGTTTTATCAAAACATAGTTAAATTTAAGGTTCCTTTTAAAAATAGACCTATGAAAGCTAACTTCTGATTAGCTGCTCTGTGTGTAGATGGCAGGTTCAGTCCCTTCTCACAAGATCAGCCTATCAAGATCTTCTGATTACCTTACGTTACAACAAACCCCTTAAAACAGAGTTTCCCCTGGGCCCTGAATCGATTTGCCTAAGGATTGGTCCAAGAATGTGGATTTTTAAACAAGTAGCTCTCCCCTGCCCCATGGTAAATTATTACGGTCAGGTTGATCTGGAAAATAATGTTTTAAAGCAACCAAAATAATTTTATCATACTTGAACATTGATTGATAGAAGTGGCATATCTAATTAAAATCAAATTTATCTAGCTTTTTAATAATCTGCATAGCTTATCACTATGCTTAAGTATTTCTTACCTAAATGTTGCAAGGCTTTGTTTTAATTCTAATAGCTCATAAGAGCTCATAAAACAGTGATCACCTTTTTGAACTGCTGGTGATTGGGCTTCTATAGTTTCAGTGTTGCATACACCTTTTCTTACCAGGCAGAAGAGTCATCTAGCAGTTGTATTCAAAAACTAAACAATGTGGAATTTATTCAAATAATCATACTACTCACAAAGTAGTCTTTAAACAGCTATACCAACATCAGTTAGTAGAGTTACTTGCAAAACTGGTTATCAAATACCTATTAATTTAAAAATCTTAATTTATGAAGTATTATGTCAACTCTGTATACAAAATTTCATTTGCCATATTATGCAACTAGGAAGCAAATATTTAACTGGATGTATATACATGAAAAAAATGCACATAGGTTCATTCTAACTGATCTGCTAGTAACGAATCCTTCTAAATTAAAAAAGAAAATAAGCAATGGAATATATTCTCAAATATCATGGAGTACTGAGGAAAGTGTAAATTAGAGATTTGAAAGAACGTTTAATTAGGACTAAAATCATGAACTGTTAGCCACTTCTATTTTCTAATAACAGTATCATATGCAGAGAAACAAAACCTACAAGCTCACTGAACTGGGTTACATGTTTTTTAAGCTGATTAAAACTACTTAATTTAAAATGAACTCTTTTTGAAACTCAAGTAAATGATGCAGTATTTAACAATTTATTTTAAAAATGACTTTAACAATTTGAGTATCAGTAAAAAAACCATTGCTAATACACAAATTGAAAAGGGCTTAAAATCAAGTCCTTGTTCCACATTGCACTTCATATTCCCATTTGTATATCAGCAAAGTTGTAGAAGCTGTCTACATCTCCCAATGCCGCATCCTTGCTTTCTGATACAAACATCTATGTTAAACATAAAAGAGACAAAAAATACATGCTAGTAATCCCCAAATTCCAAAGCCCACGTTCTTCACAGAACAATCACAGGTTTGCTATTTAAAAGAAATTCAAGTATATCATTTATAATATTTGTGGATTTTCTGTAGAATTCATGCAATATAGTTTCAAAAGCTATGATGTAATTGAGCTTTTTTAAAAGCACTTAAGATATAATTAAGATCTTTGCTTTCATAATACTTAAGTTGTATTTTATTACACTTGGAATTTCAGTTTTTAAAATATGTAACAGTCAATATTATGAAAGCTATGAATAAAGAGGTTTATTTAAAAAACTCTTAATTTCTTCTATTTTCTAAATAAGAATCTTAATAGGCTGAGAAGGAAAACTTGAGATTATCTTTTTCAAAGCTGCTAAAGATATATTACTCATTTTAAATTAACTATTTTCCAAACATCAACAAAGCAGTACTCAATAGAACCCTTCAAAAACAGCTTTTATAAATGTCAGCCAGAAATTAGAGGAGACCTGGGTTCTATTTAGCTTTACCATAAACTAGTTGTATGATGCTAACAATTTAATAAACCTCTCTGGGCTCAGTTTCCACATATGTAAAATCAGAAAGTTGGATTAGATAATCTTTAACTCATTCAGATCTAAAAACTCCAAATCATATAACCATTTTCTCTCTGTTTCCTTTTCTATTCAATCTGATTTGCCCTATCCCTTAGTACTGTTGTGATGATAAAATGAGACAAAAGACAAAGTACTCTGAATTATGCAAATTCAAGGGACCATAAGCCAAATCAGACTACAAAATCAAAAATTTCCTCTCAGATATTTATCAAAAAAACCCAGTTATAAATACTCATTTAGTCCTCTTATAATGTTTGGTTTTTAAGCTATATTAAGTTGTTTAAGTTTGAAATTTTCAGATACAGCAACCTCATCAACCATATCTAGAAAATACCTACATGTAGTGATTTCTAGATATAGCTCAAGTTTTGATCAAGTATTACTGAAGCAAATGAAAATGAACACTGGGCAATAGGATTGTCCATCTAAAGTATACAATCTTAGAGATATAACATTTTCAACATATCACTACTTTTAAAAAAGGAAGAACTTGAAGAGACATTTGGTGAGACATTTTACTTTAGAAACGTATTATTGAAGGTTTTTAATAAGTAGATACTTACTTTGTAAATTTTTAAGCTATTAAAATTTTAGTTTGGCAAGGAAAAACCAAAGCTTAGCTCCCAATTATTTACCATAAATTCTAAAAATCATGATGTGCTGAAAATACTATTTAATTGTAAGGAAAACGAAAGGAAAGGAAAGGTTTGAATGAAATACAGTCAATAAAATCTTGTACCTTGGTCCCACTGAATATCTCATTGACAACAAGTTGACATCCTTCTACAGCGCCATCTCCATTGAACTCCAAGGCAATAACAGGACCTATAAGCAAACCCAAGAAGTGTTGTCTTAACATGAATATAAATCTATTCTCAAATTAATCTTTTTATTCTTCCCTGAAGAATCTTTAGTGTCTTCTTTGGGGGTAAGAGAAAAGAAAGAAGGGAATAGACAGATGGGACATGTCACTTCAGCTACTTCCTACTCTAATCATAAAACAAATTAACATAGAGTCTCATCACATGACAAGTAGCTTCAATGCCATTATAGGACTAGTGTCACATTTTTAAGTGTTGTAAATAGTCTGGCTTTTCTGGTATTCATACTTCTATGAAAACCATAGAAAGTACAAAAAAATAGTTGATAAAATGACAAATAAGATCAGAAGCTATTCAAATCATTTTGCTAGGCAGCCAGTCTTGCTTCCAACTCTCCTACTTACCAGCCAAGTTCTGGGCCACCAATAATGAAGCTAGGCCAAGTAGGAATTGAGGCCAGGCACCAAAAGTCATGGCCATCTGAAAGTATTTTTCTTGAATGTGCCATAATACTACATTCTAGAACCAACGATCAAGTTTTTATATTTTAATTCACTGAACAGAATATTTGTGCCTTCTTTCCCATACTTAATTTGATTACTTTTAAACCACCTGTACTTTAAATTCTGGTACAAAGATTCGTGATTCAGTTTGGCTTGGATTTAAATGTAGCATTGGAACGACCGGTGTCAAACAGTTGGCAAACATGGCTGTAAGTGGGCCAAACAAAACAAGCCTTTCAATTCAATTAAAATTTTTTCCACTATCACTAAATTCCTAATAGATTTGCTTTTTATCTCCTTCAGTATTGGAGAAGTCCTGACCTCCAGGAAATTACAAATTTCTTAAAAAAGACATAAATCTAGAATCCTGCAGCCTGTGGAACAAAAGCCACATTCACAGAGAGATAGGCAAGATGAAAATGCAGAGGGCTATGTACTAGATGAAGGAACAAGATAAAACCCCAGAAAAACAACTAAATGAAGTGGAGATAGGCAACCTTCCAGAAAAAGAATTCAGAATAATGATAATGAAGATGATACAGGGCCTCAGAAAAAGAATGGAGGCAAAGATTGAGAAGATGCAAGAAATGTTTAACAAAGACCTAGAAGAATTAAAGAACAAACAAACCGAGATGAACAATACAATAACTGAAAATAAAACTACACTAGAAGGAATCAATAGCAGAATAACTGAGGCAGAAGAACGGATAAGTGACCTGGAAGACAGAATGGTGGAATTCACTGCTGCAGAACATAATAAAGAAAAAAGAATGAAAAGAAATGAAAACAGCCTAAGAGACCTCTGGGACAACATTAAAAGCAACAACATTCGCATTATAGGGGTCCCAGAAGGAGAAGAGAGAGAGAAAGAACCTGAGAAAACATTTGAAGAGATTACAGTTGAAAATGTCCCACATGGGAAAGGAAACAGCCACCCAAGTTCAGGAAGCACAGAGTCCCAGGCAGGATAAACCCAAGGAGAAACACGCCGAGACACACAATAATCAAATTGGCAAAAATTAAAGAAAAAGAAAAACTATTGAAAGCAGCAAGGGAAAAACGACAAATAACATATAAGGGAACTCCCATAAGGTTAACAGCTGATTTCTCAGCAGAAATTCTACAAACCAGAAGGGAGTGGCATGATATACTTAAAGTGATGAAAGGGAAGAATGTACAACCAAGATTACTCTACCCAGCAGGGATCTCATTCAGATTCGATGGAGAAATCAAAAGCTTTACAAACAAGCAAAAGCTAAGAGAATTCAGCAATACCAAACCAGCTCTAACACAAATGCTAAAGGAACTTCTGTAAGTGGGAAACACAAGAGAAGAAAAGGACCTACAAAAACAAACCCAAAACAATTAAGAAAATGGTCATAGGAACATACATATCGATAATTACCTTAAATGTGAATGGATTAAATGCTCCAACCAAAGACACATGTTTGCTGAATGGATACAAAAACAAGACCCATATATAAGCTGTCTACAAGAGATGTACTTCAGACCTAGGGACACATTCAGACTGAAAGTGAGGGGATGGAAAAAGATATTCAATGCAAATGGAAATCAAAAGAAAGCTGGAGTAGCAATACTCATATCAGATAAAATAGACTTTAAAATAAAGAATGTTACAAGAGACAAGGAAGGACACTACATAATGATCAAGGGATTAATCCAAGAAGATATAACAATTATAAATATAAATGCACCCAACATGGGAGCACCTCAATACCTAAGGCAACTGCTAACAGCTGTAAAAGAGGAAATCAACAGGAACACAATAATAGTGGGGGATTCTAACATCTCACTTACACCAATGGACAGATCATCCAAAATGAAAACAAATAAGGAAACAGAAGCTTTAAATGACACAACAGACCAGATAGACTTAATTGATATTTATAGGACATTCCATCCAAAAACAGCAGTTCACACTTCTCAGGTGCGCACGGAACATTCTCCAGGATAGAACACATCTTGCGTCACAAATCAAGCCTCAGTAAATTTAAGAAAAGTGAAATCATAACAAGCATCTTTTCTGACCACAATGCTATGAAATTAGAAATGAATTACAGGGAAAAAAAGTAAAAAACACAAACACATGGAGGCTAAACAATACGTTACTAAATAACCAAGAGATCACTGAAGAAATAAAAGAGGAAATCAAAAAATACCTAGAGACAAATGACAATGAAAACACGATGATACAAAACCTATGGGATGCAGCAAAAGCAGTTCTAAGAGGGAATTTTATAGCAATACAAGCCTACCTCAAGAAACAAGAAAAATCTCAAATAAACAGTATAACCTTACACCTAAAGGAACTAGAGAAAGAAGAACAAACAAAACCCAAAATGAGTAGAAGGAAAGAAATCATAAAGATCAGAGCAGAAATAAATGAAATAGAAACAAAGAAAATAATAGCAAAGATCAATAAAACTAAAAGGTGGTTCTTTGAGAAGGTAAACAAAATTGATAAATCATTAGCCAGACTCATGAAGAAAAAGAAGGAGAGGACTCAAATCAATAAAATTACAAATGAAAATTAGGAAGTTACAACGGACACCGCAGAAATACAAAGCATCCTAATAGACTACTACAAGCAACTCTATGCCAATACAATGGACAACCTGGAAGAAATGGACACATTCTTAGAAAGGTATAACCTTCCAAGCCTGAACCAGGAAGAAACAGAAAATATGAACAGCCCAATCACAAGTAATGAAATTGAAACTGGGATTAAAAATATTCCAACAAACAAAATTCCAGGACCAGACGGCTTCGCAGGTGAATTCTATCAAACATTTAGAGAAGATCTAATACCCATCCTTCTCAAACTCTTCCAAATAATTGAGGAGGAAGGAACACTACTAAACTCATTCTATGAGGCCACCATCACCCTGATACCAAAACCAGACAAAGATACTACAAAAGAAGAAAATTACAGACCAATATCACTGATGAATATACATGCAAAAATTCTCAACAAAATACTAGCAAACAGGATAGAGACATGGATATATATATACTAACAAACGTAAGGTAGATAGCCAGTGGGAAGCAGCCGCATGGCACAGGGATACCAGCTCGGTTCTCTGTGGCTGCCTGGAGGGGTGGGATAGGGAGGGTGGGAGGGAGGGAGACAAAGAGGGAAGAGATATGGGAACATATGTATATGTATAACTGATTCACTCTGTTATAAAGCAGAAACTAACACACCGTTGTAAAGCAATTATACCCCAATAAAGATGTTAAAAAAATAAAAATAAAAAAAATAAAACACCTATCTTGATCAGGGAAAAAGAAAAAAAAGGATCATACACCATGATCAAGTGGGATTTATCCCAGGGATGCAAGGATTCTTCAATATACGCAATATACGCAAATCAATGAATGTGATACACCATATTAACAAATTGAAGAATAAAAACCATATGATCATCTCAATAGATGCAGAAAAATTCAACACCCATTTATGATAAAAACTCTCCAGAAACTGGGCATAGAGGGAACCTACCTCAACATAATAAAGGCCATATATGACAAACCCACAGCCAACATCATTGTCAATGGTGAAAAAATGAAAGCATTTCCTCTAAGATCAGGAACAAGACAAAGATGTCCACTCTCAGCACTATTATTCAACATAGTTTTGGAAGTCCTAGCCACAGCAATCAGAGAAGAAAAAGAAATAAAAGGAATACAAATTGGAAAAGAAGAAGTAAAACTGTCACTGTTTGCAGATGACATGATACTATACATAGAGAATCCTAAAGATGCCACCAGAAAACTACTAGAGCTAATCAATGAATTTGGTAAAGTAGCAGGATACAAAATTAATGCACAGAAATCTCTTGCATTCCTATACACTAATGATGAAAAATCTGAAAGTGAAATCAAGAAAACACTCCCATTTACCATTGCAACAAAAAGAATAAAATATCTAGGAATAAACCTACCTAAGGAGACAAAAGACCTGTATGCAGAAAATTATAAGACACTGATGAAAGAAATTAAAGATGATACAAACAGATGGAGAGATATACCATGTTCTTGGATTGGAAGAATCAACATTGTGAAAATGACTCTACTACCCAAAGCAATCTATAGATTCAATGCAATCCCTATCAAACTACCACTGGCATTTTTCACAGAACTAGAACAAAAAATTTCACAATTTGTATGGAAACACAAAAGACCCCGAATAGCCAAAGCAATCTTGAGAACAAAAAATGGAGCTGGAGGAATCAGGCTCCCTGACTTCAGACTATACTACAAAGCTACAGTAATCAAGACAATATGGTACTGGCACAAAAACAGAAATATAGATCAGTGGAACATAGAAAGCCCAGGGATAAACCCATGCGCCTATGGTCAACTAATCTATGACAAAGGAGGCAAGAATATACAATGGAGAAAAGACAGTCTCTTCAATAAGTCGTGCTGGGAAAGCTGGACAGCTACATGTAAAAGAATGAAATTAGAACACTTCCTA